CGTTGGCTTCCGTCAGGATACGTAACAAATGCCTCAGCAGTGTCAGCTCACAACACCGCTGTGTGGAGCTATGGCCCCGTGGTGACCCGCTGTATGTATTCCCACCATTCTATTACTTTTCCTAAACGGGTGTCTCAAAAGATCGGTTGTTCAAGTTATGTGACTAGCTGCTTACATCGCCGTGCCCATGTGTTGAGGACTGATTGTTTATGGGACACCGTCATATGGCTGAAATGTTGTTCGTTAAATCCGCATTCACACGTAGAATATTTCTGTGATTCATAGTCGGTTCTTACCTGCGTGTTTGTTCCATAGTTTGACGGTGGCCTGTAAATTTAAATTTAAAGATTTCCAAAACCTCACCACCTCACTCAGTGGAGAAGGGTAGCATAGTGTTGCCAGTATGCCAGTGTGTGGACCTGACGAAGCAATGACTGGCACAAATCTTTTGCAATAAGTTCTTATCTCCCCTTTCGTGTATTGTCTCCCTTTATCAAGGCCACTTCCGGAGATGTTTCAGTTCAAAATGGCGTCAAGAGCAGACAGAAAGCAGAAGACGTGAATTAGAATTTTGAGAAATTGCATGTGCGTGAACTGAAGACCTACTTATGGAATCAAGGAGAATACGCATCGGGGACTAAGGCGGACTTAATTTTGATTGCCAAAGTTGTAGGTTAACTTGTCAGACGATCAATTGTAGATGTAAAATACAAGCGACATCACGGACATGGTCAGTGTCAGAGACAGAGGCAGAAGTTTCTGTCACCTCTCGAAGAATTAAACCCATTACACCTGAAATATGGATTAGAGTGTTGAATGTATGCCATCACTTAGTTTAAGTGATTTCTTTAATTATTTGGTATAGTAGAGCAAACAGCGGACACTAGATACTGGCCTAAACAACGCTAAACGTCAGTTGAAAGGTAAAGTGTCCTATGAAGATAGACGCGATCATTCAGTTCGATGTCACCACATATCCAATGACAGTTCTCATCGTTATGTCGATGCATAAGTGATACCTCCCATACCAAGTCGGAGTATGAAACGGAAATGAAACTGTTCTTCTTGAGATTTTGCTTGTGGCGACTTTCCACAGTACATGTGATTCTCAGTTCTGTTCTTCACTCCAGGAAGGGAAATATATCAACTAAGGCAAACGTATTACTAGCAGTACCAAATACAAGGACAAATGGCTCTTCCCAAATGAAGTGGTGTTATGTTTTCATAGAACTCTAAAGGATTTTCATGTGGAAAGAAGATACTTTCATTCAAAGTTTGGGGATTCATCTATCTACTGAATGACTTTTTCTGTGGGAGCAATTCTGCCAGAGCATTTCTCAACTTGTGTGAAATGAGGAAAATATTTGTATCCTGTGTCATGAACATAAACAGCTTGGGCTTCTCAAATCAACTGTGTCTATTAGATCATGTTTAATATGTGTGTGTTTTTATTGGGTAACTTGATTTCTTTACAACTACATGTATATGGATTATTCACTTCCAATGATCATTCTTTTTGGCCAGAATAAGGCTTTAATGTATAAAACAAACAACATATAAATCAATACTCTGGATTCAAATATGCTGAACATCAATGTTATGGTATAAATAAGACAGCTGATGGTTGTGTTCGGTGATAAGCATGGCCATGGATTTGTCAATGCAAAGTACACAGCACAACATAATAAGTGTACCAGTGTCCTAAACACTTTCTCAAAAGTGGAAACTGAAAGTGTATCAAGTGAACATACTTTCCAAATATTATTTACTTTCTTAGCCAAAGTAATAGGAATGTCCCCTTGTACAATCGGGAGATTATCTATGCATGTATACCATTTCAACATAAGTTCTTAAATTTGCAATGTGTCTTGTCTCTTCTTCTTTATTAATACCTTCATTCTTAAAGGGTGCATAAGGGTGACATGTGTAACTTCACTTCTAAGGGTGTTGTCAGATCAGAAATGGGAATTCCTGTCAGCCATTATAGAATCCTCAGGTTCACAGAGATGCAGCAAACCACATAATTTGTTAATTTGATTATCACGTGTACTACCACACCAAACATCGGACACAGACGTTATTACAGACAATTACCCCCAGCTCGACAAATATCGTCCGTTCATGGAGAATGAAGTGCCATAAAATCCGCTTAATCTTCCTGCCCTCCGCTATATCTTGCACTTTATTCTTGTGTTTATTACTGGATAGCTACAGTTTCGTTTTGTTTGTTTGTTGTTTAACGCAGCACTTAGCGATATTGCAGCTATATGACATGGCTCTGTAAATAATCGATTCTGAACAAGGCCACCCAGGGAATGGTACCGGTATTACACCACCGCCTTATGCGTTGGGTACAATGGCAATCATTCAAATCAACGAGCCGGACCTACCTATGCAAGGACGTCATGCACATGATACGGTCGCCATCATTATTATTCTAACTCGTGATGCAGAAGGATATCTGTTGTGTAACGTTTTCTGTCAATACTTAAATGTGCCATGGCGTGTGTGGTGTTGTTTGTTGTTTAAGGACCGCCTCCGTGGTGTAGTGGTTAGAGCGTCCGCCCGGAGAGCGGAAGGTCGCGGGTTCGATCCCCGACCGCGTCATACCAAAAGACGTTAAAATATGGTACTTGTTGGTTCCTGCCTGGCGCTCAGCATTCATGGGTACAACAAGGACTGGTCGGCTCGGAGTCAGTATAATGTGTCTGAGTGGGGTATTCATGCTTCACTGCGGCATGGTATCTCAGTGGGCTAGTACTATAAAACCAGCTTAAGTCTGGGCTAGTACAAGCAGCCGCATATACACATACACATGAATGCACGTCGTCATATGAGCGAAATATTCTCAAGCACGACGTTAAACCCAATTTCACCTTACCTCACCTCACCTCACCTCACTTCACCTTGTTGTTTAAGGCCACACTTAGCAACAATTCAGCTGTCACGGCGGTCTAATCGAGTCTGAACCAGATAATCCAGTGATTGACATCACGAGCGTCGATCTTCGCAATTGGGATACGATGACAGGTGTCATCCAAGTCTCCCCTTAATCGTCTCAAACGGCAGGCAAAGTTTGCTGAATACCGATTCAAACCTTAACAGGCACCGTGTGTCCTAATAGGACGACCAGTCCTGTTTCCTCACAGATGACATTTATAACTTCACCTTAGTTCGCTGCTTAATCGCATGTAGGACTCATGAAGGTTGGAACTAAACCTATCCCTTACACTGACCTGTATGTGACAGGTTTGTATACAGGTTCTATTCAGGATTACGTACACCCGCTTATGTGATGTAATAGAAACATGGAGTAGCAAACAGATCGCTCATCCAACGCGGCAGGGCTTGTTTTTGGAGTGGAATTCTGTTGTACAAAGCCATCTACGCGCCAAGGTATTATCGTAACCCCCAAACCTCCATTTCATTTGACTGATTGATTGTTGTTTAACGCCGCACTCAGCAATATTCCAGCTATATGGCGGCGGTCTGTAAATAATGAAGTATGGACCAGACAATCCAGTGATCAACACCATGAGGATCGATCTATGCAATTGGGATACGATGACATGTGTCAACCAGACTGACCACCCGATCCCGTTAGTCACCTCTTACGACAAGCATGGGTTACTGAAGACCAATTCTAACCCTGATCGTCACGGGTCCAAACCTTCAGTTAAGACAGATATATATAGCGCTGAGACTGTTTTGAACAAACGCACCTTGATTCGTTGGCACCTTTGTCACCACACCACAACCTGCGACTTGTCAAGAATGTTTCAGCACAATGAGGTGGTATTTACGTATTCGTTTGTGAAGGAGAAACGTACAAATCCCCCCAAACTGACGATGAATTTTCAATCGTTGTCACCGGTGCCGTATTACATTGTATGGTCATACAGATCAAAATGACAAACATGAATTCAGTTGAAATATTTTATTCTACATTTTCTACTTGTTTATTATGTACATTTATTTCACTTGTATACACGACCGTCATAAAAAAACAATAATTTCATCAATAAAACAATTCAAAATATACTTGACGGATTGAAAAATGTTGACTATTGACTAGGTGGATCAAATTTATACATCCATCCTTCCAACAAGAAGTATACCAGATACTCCACGTGACACCACTGGCTACACACATATATACATTAATTCCTTTATATAAACCAAACCATTATAGAAATAGTTCGTTTTAATAAACAAAATACAAGGTTTGATTTTACGACTTAAAAGATTTCTGCCGGGGAAATGAAAGTACACACCGATGTGAGATGGTGATTAAAGGAAAGAAACAAGATCTGGTTATTCAATGTTGATGTATTTGAGAAGAATATTGCTGTGTTTTGGAACTTCCGGTAACTGTTTTCATAACCGATAAATGTTTGCTGGACAAATGGTTTCCGGAGAAACGACTATTCAGATTAGAATATATTCCAGAAAATACTTGCGGAAATAATATCGTTTGAACAAAATTCAGCTTGAGATTACCTATTTCATTTCTTCGAATGCAAAACATCCCCAAGAAATGTCGTACTTCGTAGCATTTTGAAAGCGTTTGTCGTTATTTGATTACATCAAGTTTTCAGTGTATACTTTCGTTTTCCCGGAAGTGCGTTTCACTATACGCGTGATCTAGTTAGGACGTGTGTGTCCCTGCGTTTGTTCATTACGTGCTAGACTGCATTGAAACGACTATAAATACACTCTACGTCGCACCAAGCATCCATAGCACTGAGTGTTAAGCAAATACATTATTTTGTTTCTATAAATAAATAAATTCGAAGCACCTTCTCTCAGATCCTCTACCCGAACGACACAAGACATCAGACAGGTCAGGTTTAGCACTAGTAAGTCCACATATGTACAGGATCTAGAACACTTATGTCCTGAAGTTCGTTTTACTCTCGCAGTTGCAACAAACTCGGAACAAAAATCTCGGGTTTCTCCACCTGGTAACAATTTTAATATCACATTCTTGATTGATCTTGTTTTTAAAATAACGTGTTTTCCTTTACATTTTCAAACCTGCTAGAGTTTTTGAGTTTTTCCAACGTCACAAACTATGGTCTTTTTTGGTAAAAATAGCACAGCTCGATAATCTGAATCCGTGTAGATTGGAACCCAATCTAACCAACGGAGCCTAACAATTTTGAAGAAAATACATGAATCATTAGTTTTGGGGTTGAAAACATATCCATTGTATTCATAACTGGATTTTTATGATAGAGATTAAAACAGCCATATATGTCAAATAAAACGTATATGGTCCAATACTTTGCTATAAAGGTATTGGACATAAAAATATTAAGCAAGATGAAACGGGACGGGAATGGTATAATATATGAATAAAAGAGCTCTATATACGCATAACGACTTGATTCATTGTGACTTGTAAAGGTCATCTTCATCAACAAAACGATACAATGATAACCTCGTTATCCCGGAACCCCGATATACCGGAACCCCATTACCCTGGACGGTTACTCTTGAGAATCTCTATGTTGATACACACTCACTACACCGCCTGGATTCAATAATCCGGACATGTGGTAAATTCAACTGGGAATAGCACAGTGTTCGGATTAACGGGGTGCATACATTTGTAAAATATTTGACAATAGTAGACATGATTTGATTGATACAATATAATTCAGTAGATGGTAAGACTTTTCATCTTTCAGCAGCATTCAACATCATGAACATGTTTAAATGCAAATCAAGTGGGATAGGAATCGAATCTAACACATTGATGACAATTTCATACTTATTACAGGATTATCCAAACTTTCTACACAGCACTAAATTAAAATATAATTGCATCAGTATAGTGCATGTGATCAAATTTCCCTCCAAGTACTGATTTAATCCCAAAACAATTTGGTACTAAATTCAAATAACAATTTCCTCAAATTACAAACCGTAATCATGATATATAGCTACTGCGCGAACAGGCAGCTCCGACTAATCAGTTGTCCCCCATCTGTTTTTAATCTAGCAACGATTCACAACCTCTCACAAATGAAAATTTTCAAAATACATGATATGAGCATATATTAGATGTTTGATGAACTAATAAAACGTATACACCATATTAAAGATTACAGAAAAAACGCACTTCGACCTAAGGGTATCTGAAATAAACAGCAGTTATTAGAACCTTCAGTGTGCCCGTACCCATGTTACAGCAGCATTAAAACAGACGCTTTTCATACATGAGTGCAGGGTACGTTCCATTTGTTCAAAGCAAAGAAACAATAATTTAAAATTACAGTTATAAAGTACATACTTGAACAGGATGGGAATACGATTCAATGAAAGATTGTCAATAACATATGTCTAAATTAAACCGGATGGTAATGTATTTCTAATCCAAGCAAAGGCGCCATGTTTGGGGAAATGGCGAGGTCGGAAGTTTTCTGACCTCATTTTGTCCCTATTCGGAACCTCATATCCATTTAATAAGCAAAACCTCCAGTTAGCCTTTCATTATTACTAACGTTGTATCCAATGACAACCAGTGTCATGTGACCAGTGACCTCAATGATTTTCAGTGATCCATTCACAGAACGTCCATCAGTATTTGCCTTGAGCGGATTACCGAGACTGATTATTAATTGACGTCTGCATTTACTTCAGTCACAACACTATCAATAAAGAGACAATTGCCCTTTCACAAAGACACACCAGAGCAACGCGTTACATTTGGGATTACACTTTTTGAGTATAGTTCAGATTCTCGTACTATTCTCGTGCCTCATTCTGAAAGTGAGGGTTCGAATCCCAGATGGGACTCAACCTAACACAGTACTAAATCTGTACTTTACTGAGAAAGTGTAATCCCAAATATAACTTCTACATTTGACCACATTCTAAATGGCATTGTGTACTCATATCGATGCCAGAACAACGTTACCTAACGTTCCTTTCTTTGTACAAGATCATAAACATGAAAGCGTCACCCAGGCAGCATATCTCTCAGCATATCGTTAGATGTAACGGTCTACAGTTTCCATTAGAATAATTGCTGATTTGGGACACCATCCAAGATAACAATACACATGCGTATCCTGATGTCTGAGAACATGTTGTGAGCTGTGGGCAATTGTATGCCCTCGCTGTTTGAGAGCGATGATATTTCTGTGGCCATATATCCCTGCACAGTCAATACTAGTCACTTTTGGTGTCACGTGATCAGTATTTTTCAAGGTCCTGAGGGTCTGGGGTGTTCAAGGGGTGTCTGTCTGCCGATTGGTCGGAACCTCGGGTGTCCGGTGTCTTGCTCCTTTGTTCCCGGCCTCTTCTCAACTCATCTAGCCTCGCTTTCACATTCTCCGTCTGTCGCTGCTTCTCAGAGGCATACCTGTGCAACACAATAATTACAGTTTGTCATTAGACACATGATCAACAAGATTTCAGTTCGCCATTAGACACGTGATCAACAAGATTTCAGTTCGTCATTAGACACATCAACAAGATTTCAGTTCGTCATTAGACACATGATCAACAAGATTTCAGTTAGTCATTAGACACATGATCAACAAGATTTCAGTTAGTCATTAGACACATGATCAACAAGATTTCAGTTCGTCATTAGACACGATCAACAAGATTTCAGATCAACAAGATCAACAAGATTTCAGTTCGTCATTAGACACATGATCAACAAGATTTCAGTTCGCCATTAGACACATGATCAACAAGATTTCAGTTCGTCATTAGACACAAGATGATCAACAAGATTTCAGTTCGCCATTAGACATGTGATCAACAAGATTTCAGTCAGTTCAACAAGATTTCAGTTTGTCATTAGATCAACAAGATTTCAGTTCGCCATTACACATGTGATCAACAAGATTTCAGTTCGCCATATTAGATCAACAAGATTTCAGTTCGCCATTAGACATGTGATCAACAAGATTTCAGTTAGTCATTAGACACATGATCAACAAGATTTCAGTTCGCCATTAGACACGTGATCAACAAGATTTCAGTTCGTCATTAGACACATGATCAACAAGATTTCAGTTAGTCATTAGACACATGATCAACAAGATTTCAGTTCGCCATTAGACACGTGATCAACAAGATTTCAGTTCGCCATTAGACACATGATCAACAAGATTTCAGTTAGTCATTAGACACGTGATCAACAAGATTTCAGTTAGTCATTAGACACATGATCAACAAGATTTCAGTTCGCCATTAGACACGTGATCAACAAGATTTCAGTTCGCCATTAGATCAACACACGTGATTAACAAGATTTCAGTTCAACAAGATTTCAGTTAGTCATTAGACACATGATCAACAAGATTTCAGTTCACCATTAGACACGTGATCAACAAGATTTCAGTTCGACATTAAGACACGTGATCAACAAGATTTCAGTTCGCCATTAGACACATGATCAACAAGATTTCTTCGCCACATTGGGTCACGTGATCAACAAGATTTCAGTTCGCCATCATCAACAAAGATTTCAGTTCGCCATTAGACCATGAGTTCCCATTTCTGGTGTCCCCGACGTAATATTGATGGAATATTGCTAAAAGTTCGACACGTGATCAACGTAAGTTCGCCATTAAACTCAGATCAACAAGTTTCAGTTCGCCATTAGACACGTGATCAACAAGATTTCAGTTAGTCATTAGACACGTGATCAACAAAATTTCAGTTCGACATTAGACATGTGATCAACAAGATTTCAGTTAGTCATTAGACACGTGATCAACAAGATTTCAGTTCGCCATTAGACACGTGATCAACAAGATTTCAGTTCGCCATTAGACACGTGATCAACAAGATTTCAGTTCGCCATTAGACACGTGATCAACAAGATTTCAGTTCGACATTAGACACATGATCAACAAGATTTCAGTTCGTCATTAGACACATGATCAACAAGATTTCAGTTCAATAGACACGTGATCAACAAGATTTCAGTTCGCCAACAGACTAGTCATCAACAGACAGTTCGCCAATGTGATCAACAAGATTTCAGTTCGCCATTAGACACGTGATCAACAAGATTTCAGTTAGTCATTAGACACATGATCAACAAGATTTCAGTTCGACATTAGACACGTGATCAACAAGATTTCAGTTCGCCATATAGACACGTGATCAACAAGATTTCAGTTCGCCATTAGACATGTGATCAACAAGATTTCAGTTCGCCATTAGACACATGATCAACAAGATTTCAGTTCGCCAACAGACTAGTGATCAACAAGATTTCAGTTAGTCATTAGGCACGTGATCAACAAGATTTCAGTTCGTCATTAGGCACAAGATTTCACTTCTTCAGTAAACATAATCAACAAGACATCACTTTGTCAGTAAACATGTAATCAACAAGATTTTGACTGGTCATTAGACACGTGAGCAAAACAATTTGAAAAAGTCATTAAACGCATTTGTTTTGTTATTTTGTTAGTTTAACTCCGCACTGAGCAATATCCCAGTTATATGACGGCTCTCGATAAGATAATCGAGGCTTTAGCAGACAATTCACTGGTTGACATGAGCATCGATGAAAGCGCTACGGGACATAGGACGGTCATCGATGCACTCATGCTGTTGATCACCGGATTGTCAGGTCCCGACTCGATTACACCATAGCGACCTGTCACCGTGGTAATATGTAGTCACGGCCATAATGCAATCGAATATAATCAGTACTGATCAATGTTTCCAGGGTACTAGTACTTATATTAGTACTTATCGAACTCAGTTTTCTGGACCACTGCATCCAGTGCACGTTAACATCAGACGAGTGTCATATAAGAAGATAGGGTGATGCATTTCTGATACTTGTCAATCGATCTAGGAATTCTAAGCACATGAAACACTGATGTTCGATACAGTGAGAGAATGGTCATTATACGTTTTAGCATCCTGTATTTAGGTCAAGTTGTGTCATGCCGTGTCAGTTTCAGTGAGTGAGTGAGTATGGGTTTACACATTTTTCAGCAATATTCCTTCAAACATCACGGCGTGGGACACCAGGAAAGACCTCCACACATTGTACACATGAGGATAGAACTGGGGTCCACAGCGTGACGAGTGAACGCTTTAACCACGAGGCTACCTCACAAAACCCCGTATCAGTTCAAACGAACTACTGCCCGTAAACCAATAATCATAATAAGTCTGAACAACGCTGGTACTCAAAAACATTAGGTTAGGATTAAATATTTTTAAAAATTGTTTTCCAAATTTAATCCTACCACGTATTATTTGACGTATCCCTACTCCCTTCACATAGGCGGGAGGATGATTTCGATCATTTCAACTATATCAGCTTTGTACGAGAAGAAAACAAACGTGACGCAAAAAACGGGCCACACTCACAAATATGTTACTGACGGTCATGGGAACATCAGTTACGTAGCTAAATCTGGGGTTCGAACCCACTTTTAACGGATCCTTGACGGCAGTGTATCCTCATCTCAGCACGTCAACCACTTTGCTATCCGAGACTGTTTTGCACAGGTGTGTAAACCCGTCCCATTCATCAATCTTATGATACATTCTACTCAGTGTTCTGTAGTACATGTAGGCATGTGCGTGTGTGCATGCTTGCTTGTGCGCACATGTGTGTGTGTGTGTGAGAGAGAGAGAGAGAGAGAGAGAGAGAGGGAGAGAGAGAGTGTGTGTGCGCGCCCAAGGTGTGTTTTGTAACATGTAAGTGAGGCTTACATACACGGATAAATGTTCAATACTCTATCACAACTTATATTTGATTTCGAGCATTAACAAATCAGTACAATACAGTCCGCTACTCTACAGTAGTAACGAACTCACATGGACCACAACATTTAGTTCGTTATAACCGCAGTTTGTTATGAACCTTTCGACTAAAATATATAGACCAGAAATGGGCTCCCCACGTGGGCATCGAACCCGGACCTTCGTTGTGACGAGCGATCGCTTCAGCCACTGCTGGTTACCCATACGCCTTTATATGAATTAAACTCACCCATGCAGCAATTCTCTTTCTTTGACGATCACAGATTCGCATGATTGACAAACAAGATTTTCTGCGATTGCTACCTGCTTTTTTAGATATGTTGCTATGGCATCATTAAATTGGCTCCGACTTGCAGAGCTATTATAAAAAATATCAATGTAATTTGCATCTGAAAACCTTGTGACAACCTACTTGACGAGTCCATGATTACACACAGACACAAGTGTTTCGTTTCTGGGCGTGGCAAAGTAGTATCATCATGTTTCCGTATCCTGTGTAAATATATGACAAAGGATGAAATCTATATTCATCGTGGATACAAAAGACTTTTCCATCACTTGTGTTTGTAAATACAGTCTCTACCTCAAACACTCTACCATGCGGCGTGTGTACACAATACAAGTCGATAACTTTCTTAACAGGTTTGCTTAAACACCGCAAAGAGAAACTGAACAGTCGATAAATCGTTTGTCTCGCCTAAGGCGATGTTAGAGCTTGGTTTAAGTACAAGAGGTAGCTATCCACAATGTGAAATATATCCCAACTACTTGTCGCTGCTTATAAACGTCATGTCCTGTATTTCAGATGAATCAATGTTTATCGGCGAGGTGAACTGAATTGTGACACTTAGGTGAAATCCACAATTGGGTCAGCACACCGCAATTTCTACCAGATCATCATCAGATTGATCTGGGATTCGAACCCCCGACTATCCAGATACCTAAGGAACACCTCACCACTAGTTGTAGTGCTATGCCTTGTCTTTTCTATATTTTCAATAGCTGCGACTGAGTGAGTATGGTTAAAGCCGCTTTTAGCAATATTCCAGCAATATCACTGCGGGGTACACCAGAAATAGGCTTCACGCATTGTACCCATATGGGAATCGAACCCGTCTTAGGTGTGACGAGCGAACGCTTTAACCACTAGGCCACCCCACCGCCCCCGCTGAGACTGATATATGTACCGAAAACTCCTTTCAGAATGACCCCTGATTCAAGCATAATGCTTGTTATGTATAACATAGAATATCAATAAATCTATTAGTTTTATATGTCCTGTTTAAAACGAAACTACAGTTCTTGAGAAGTGAGGCGTTAAATATTGTATCTGGTACTGAGGGTTCTGCTTTCAACATCCAACTGTACATCGTCGGTATTCCGCGTTCAGTACATCGGCCAGCTTTCACATCTTAAATTTTACCATCCTTACTGTAACCGATTATGAGTATTGACTAGATCTCTAACACATTATTGATTACACACTCGTACCGTATTAATAATTCAATAGTGAAGGAATTGTCCATTCGGCTTCAAAAGGCCGTATAATACCATCTGAAATGTATTGGATTTTCTTTAAGGACACCGCCAATAGGTCAGAAGGTGTGT